AGGAATGTAATTCAACTGGCTTTAGCCTGAAGAAGTGTTTACTGATGTATATGAGCAAAACTTCAGGTGTACGTCCTCAGGAATGGATGCAGGGATGTCTGCATTTGTGTGGTATGGCAGCAATGATTAAGATCTGTCTTCCATCTCTCAGTTAAGTTCACCCTATGTCTTCATTCTAAGGCAGCCCACGACCTTGGGGTGAATAGGTGGCCACTAGCTCAGGACAACATCCTCATGGGGATGTCCTCTGAGTGTTTTTTCCTCAGCTTCCATCAGAGGACTTCAATAACATGCACCAGTCTGTAAGCATCCCCAGCCCCAGGCTGCCTGTTTTTGTCAAGAGGAATTGTCTGAATCCCCTATGTTTTGGTCAGGATCTGGAGAATGTGGGTGGACCATGTTGTCTGCGAATGCAGGAGGTACTCCTCCCCTCTGCCAGCCTCAGATGGGTTTGGCAATGCCAATTGTGATTACCTAGACTACCTCTGTGTCTGATAGGCATTCTTGAAGCCAAAACTAGACATTCTTAGCAAGAAAAGCTACTAGTTTGGTACAAACCAGAGCTCCCTAGGTTACTGGGTGAGACCCAGAGTGACAAACTGAGGTTCCTTTATTCCTAAATCCAAGTACACGAACTTCACAAGTTTTGGCTTCTTATAGCGAAGGGGAATCATCCACACTCGCAGGGGGTGGTCCAGAATGCTGGGAGTCCACACCCAGTGAACAAGGAGCAATTCTCCAGAAAAGAAATGCTAATACTTGACCTTAGAAAACTAAGAATTATGAAACCAATGGAAGCCAAAGACTTGCTGTCTCATGTTATATATAAATCTATGAAAACTTTAAAACGTTTTAGAGACATTTCTTTTGGCACACAGGTATGAGTATATGGCACAGTAGGTGTGTGGAGGTCAGAAGATAACTTGTAAGAGTAGGTGCCCTCCATATGTGGGCTCAATTGTCAGGTTTGGTGACAAGCGCCCTTTCCCACTAGGCTGCTTTGCGGGACCCATCCATGAGAATTTTATTGGACTGTCACAACCTAAAGGGAGAGAACTGAGCTACTTGCTGTCATGGGATCACTTCAGCTAGGAGAAAGGTCTGAGACTTGGACTCAGCCAATCAGATACTATTTCCCAGGACTTTCAGTCTTGGATCAGTGATAAAACATTGTCTTAGATGTTTGAAAAAATTCACATGGCCGTTGGTGTCAATGACAATGACAAGAGTGGCATTGCCTGCCCTGGTCTGACTAAGGGAGAGCATTGCTGTGCTCTCTACCTTGAGCAACTTGGCCTCATGTCTGAGTGTTATGACACTTCCATTCCCGACCCCCACTGGCACTAAGCCCTCCATATCATCACAGTACGTCCTCCTTCCCAAAGGCGATCCATCTGACCTTTCTAAACTCCAGCCAGGAATTCTAACTATATAAACTGAATTTTCTTTTTTTCCTTTTTCTTTTTTTTAAAAGAAAACCAACTATCTTTTTTCATTATAAATACCAATCTAAGTTCCCACTCCCTCCTCTCCTCCTATTCCTTCCCACCCCACCCCCATTCAGTCATCAGAGAGGGTAAGGCACATTGCTTTGGGGAAGGTCCAAGGTCCTCCTTACTATATATAGGCTGATCAAGGTATCATCCAAAGAGAACAGGTTCCCCAAAAAAACAGTACATGCAGTAGGGATAAATCTTGGTGCCAGTGTCAGTGGCCCCTCAGTCTGCCCCAGCCACCTGTCAATCACATTTAGAGAGACTAGTTTGGTCCTATGCTTGTTTCTTCCCAGTCCAGTTGGAGTTGGTGAGCTCCCATTAGCTCAGGTAAACTCTTTCAGTGGGTGAACCCATCATGGTTTTGACCCCTTTGCTCATATTCTCATTCCCTTCACTCTTCAACTGGATTTTGGGAGCTTAGTCCAGTGCTCCAATGTGGGTCTCTGCCTCTTTTCCATCAGTTTCTGGATGAAGTTTCTATGGTGACATTTAAGATATTCATCAATCTGACTACAGGGCAAGTCAAGATCAGGCCTCTGCTCCTTTATTGCTTAGGGTCTTAGGCGGGGTCATCCTTGGGGTTTCCTGGGAATTTCTCTAGAGCCAGGTTTCTTGCTAACCCTATAATGGCTCCCTCAATCAAGATAGCTCTTTCCTTGCTCTCATCTCTGTCCTTCCTCCTTCTTGATTATCCCGTTCCCTCAAGTTCTCCTCAACCTCTACTTCTCCTTTCTTCTTCCCCTTCCACCCTCCCTTCTCTTTCACACCCATACTCCCAATTTTCTCAAGCAATCTTGTTTATTTCTACTTTCTAGGTGGATCTATATATGTTTTTCTTAGGGTTCACCTTATTACTTAGCTTCTCTAGGATCATGAAGTATAGGCTCAATGTCCTTTGTTTATAGCTAGTATCCACTTATGAGTGAATGCATACCATATTCATCTTTTTGTGTCTGGGTTACTTCACTCAGGATAGTGTTTTCTAATCTCATCCATTTGCATGCAAAATTCAAGATGCCATTGTTTCTTTTTTACCACTGAGTAGTACTCTAATGTGTAAATGTGCCATATTTTCTTTATCCATTCTTCAGTCGAGGGGCATCTAAGTTATTTCCAGGTTCTGGTTATTACAAATAATGCTGCTATGAACATAGTTGAACAAATGCCCTTTGTGGTATGATTGAGCATCTTTTGGGCATATGCCCAAGAGTGTTATTGCTGGATCCTAAGGTATATAACTGAATTTTCTAAATGAATAATTCTAAGTTAATATTCCTCTTGGAGAAAATTTCTACCTTAAGATAAAGCCACTGGGCTGGGAATTAGGAAAACTGAATTTAATCTGTTAGTCATTGTCCCATTGCTGTGAAGGGACACTATGACCAAGACAACACTTATGAAAGAACACATTTAACTGACAGCCCTCTTGCAGTTTCAGAGGGTTAGTCCATTGTCATCATGGTCAGAAGCATGTTAGCAGGCCTGATGTTGGAGTGTTGACAGAGGTTTCTGTCCTGCCTGATCCCATAGCCATTCAGCCCCAAAGAAACACACTGAGGTCTACATTAATTATAAACTGGTTGGCCTATTAGCTCAGGCTTCTTATTAACTCTTATATCCTACGCGAACCCATAATTCTTGTCTGTGCTAGCCATGTGGCTTGATATCTTTTATCAGTGAGGCATTCTCATCTTGCTTCCTCTGTGTCTGGGTGAGGACTGCAGACTGAGCTTTCCTCTTCCCAGAATTCTACTATTCTGGTCGCTCTGCCTATACTTCCTGCTTGACTACTGGCCAATCAGCATTTTATCGAAGCAGTACAACTGACAAATCTTTACATTGTACAAGGCCATTGTCTCACAGCAGTAGAGAAGTACTTGAGAGCTACATCCTGATCCACAGGCAGAGAGGGAGACACTGGGCTTTCAGAAGTTCAAAGCCCAGATCCAGTGACATGCTTCCTCCAGCAAGGCCACACCTCCTAATCCTGAGCCTATGAGGGGAGGGCATTCTCATTCAAATCATCATAATCCCCAACACCATAATCATCTATCTAGATGGTTTCCAGTTTGTCATTAAAGTCTGGCTTTGTTTCTTTACCTGTAAAATGAGGGTGGGAGAATTTTCTGCCTGCGAGCTAGTGTGTCAGTAGGAGAGCAGGGCAGTGCCTGAAAGAAGTAAACACCTTCTCAGTGACACAGGTGAGACATAAACTGCATGACTCGTGAGTGGATGAGTTTGATGGAATCATTTGGTGTGACCTCTGTGCCCACATCTGGTCCCTCCCTGCATATTAGCTGATGCTGTTAGGATTTGTGGATTCCTTTTAGAGAATTCACGAATTGTCCACCATGTGCCAGGTACCAGTTTTGATTTGATTTCTCTCTCTCTCTCTCTCTCTCTCTCTCTCTCTCTCTCTCTCTTGCTGCCCAGCTGTCACCTTCTATCTCTAAAGTTACTGTTCAGATCCCAGTAACCACAGGAGGAGGGCAACAAGCTGCAGGTGTCTTGTTTCTCTGTGAAGAGCCACTTTTCTCCCTTGAGAAAGACCGATGCAGAAAGTCTTTTTGCCTTCAATGTTCCCTTCTTTCCAGGAAACATTTTTACAGAGGGAAGTGATCTTCTTGGGTAGACTTTGCTTTGGAAGTTCTTGAAGATGTGTGTTCCAAGGAAGAGAAGAAGATCATGTTCAGTCACATTTAGTTTTTCGTGTGTGGATGAGTCAGTAGAACCAGGAAGGGAACAGATGGCTTAATATATCACCTGAACTGGCAATACTTTATGGCAAAACAGGAACCCATATGATTCCATAAAAACATCAACCAAAAAATAAAAAACCCTAGTCTCCTATTAAATTAATGATTATATGCACATGCCCTAAAATGAAATATCCCTAATACAGTTTTCCTTCTGCATTATATGATCAACTGTCTTGCTTTTCAGCAAAGGTTGGGTTTTTTTTTCTTCTCCAAAATATATTAAGAATCATTTATTCCTGCAAACGTCAAGAGTCAGTTTTGCTGGGAAACTTATCTGCCTTAAAATAGCTCTGAATGATAATGCCTCCAAATGTTGCATCTGCTAATATCCTGCTGATTTCCTTGGAATTGTGGTGAGGTTGGAGGAGGAAATCCATTTTTAAAGGTGCCTATGATTCCTGAGAAAACACACAGGGAAGGTTTCCTTGCCGCGTATCTCTCTGGGCACTGTGCAAGTGGACAGCCACCGCTTCCACACGGGAAGGAGGGGAAGGCGTGCAAAGCTCCCAGCAAGAGCAGGCTTTTGCCTTTGTTCCGAGAAGCTGATTGTTTCACACTTGCTGGGCAAGCCCACGCCGGGACTGCCTTTGATTTCCCACTTGAAAGAAAGCCCTGGCTTTCAGGACCCTGAGTCCTGAAAGGGGCTGTGGAGATCTCCAGACTCAGGCTCCACCTCCCCCTTTCTCAGAAACTGCGAAGTGAGTACTGAGAATCATGGCAAATGTCTCCAGCAATAAAATCTTACCTTCCATTTCTGGGAGGAGGCAGCCCAGGGCACTGGCAACAGCAACAGGCAATTCCTAGGTAAAGACAGATTAAGTCTTTTCCAGGGACATGATGGGTTGTTTAATGTCAAGTGGATAGTCATACATATATACATACATACATACATACATACATATATATGAGCAACATTAAGCATTAAGGCTTAGTTATTTGTATTATATGCACTTACATACATATACATGTTTGTAACAGTGATAATTAAAGAGGAAGAGGCCACAAATTTGAGAGGGAGTTGAGGGATGGATGGGGAGAGGGTGGGTAGAAGTGATGTAAATACAGTACTCATTTATTAAATTCTCAGAAAATACAGAAAAAAAATCATGAAAAATATTATATTGAAAAAGAAGCTTTTCAGCACTTCAAAAGCCTTTCCCTGTCACATACATTCCCTGTGTTCTTTTAAAACCAAGTCATCGGACATGCAGTGCAGTGTAAATGCCAGATTACAGAGACTGCATCAGTGTACAAGCCAAGGTCTTGGCCGTCCCTCCTTTATGGATTATCTTGTGTATTTTCATAGATTGCTTTCTAGAAAGATATGGAGAGGCAGACAAGCAGACGGGAGAAGCAAATACCACTTTCTGTGAGCCGTCTTCTGTGAGAGCAAACAGAGGAGAGGAGCCAGGGAAGGTAGAGGGGCTGATTTTCCCGACAGAGGCTCAGGGAGCTTGATGACCTTCATGTTCATCCCACAGTTGTTATGGCAACAGGAAAGTGAAATGTTGGTTGCTAAGGGACACTGAATGGAGGCAATCTCCATCACTACTGGCCATTCCACTCTGGTACTTGGAAATCCACCTCAAACAAGGATGAGTCAGCAAAACACCTTTTAAAGGTTGACTTCAACTCACGCTCTGGTTAGCAGTGTTTGTTTTCAAAGAGAGTTTTTAAAGAAATGGTTAGGACATTTTTTTAAACATCTTAAATTTACTTAAAGGTGAGGCAGACGTTCTAAGTGGAGGGGCGCTCCCATCACTGCGTCTGCCCATCCTTGGAGGTGCCACAGCACCATTTGACTTACAAACAGATGATTTTTGAAGCAGGTAATATATTCACAGCTTAAATCTTCGCCCCTAGAAAGGTCAACCTAATTAGTGAGGAGAAAGCTCAAGGTATACCTGAAAATGACTAATGAGTCATTAAGTGGGACATTTCCCTGCAGCATTCTGGGAGGACAGTCGGTGACATCAATGCCCATTTACCTGAGTGATGAGTCTCATCTCCCTTCACATTAGTCACATTCCACAGCATGTGCAGAACGCCTTGTTGACCAATTAGTGTTGGGCAAAATGTGGGTACCGCCTGCCCTATAAAAGACTAAGACACTTCTGTGTTTCAGTTCTTGGTCAAGAACCATATAGGTATGACTCATTATTTCTCTACCTGGCATACACTAATACACACTTATCCATGTGTATATTTTGTAGTGCTGGGGATTAACCCCAGGATCTTGCCCAGGCCAGGTTACTATAAATATTTATTAATGACTGTGTGGGAAACATGAAGAGGCAGGGTGCTCTGTACCTTCATTCTGTGGATGAGCATGTTTGTGTCGGCTGTGTGCTGAGAGAAAACCAAACAACTCTGTCCTTTGGCCCTTCCTCCTTTGATCTCCTCCTGCTGCCCTTTCTTTTTTACTTCCTCAGCTATTTATGAACATACTTTCTTTGCTAGGAGCTGAGAATACAGAAGTAAACGAGACTGTCCCTTTGTCCAGGATCATTTTCACACTGGGATTGCTGACTTTTGGGCAGATGTGACACAAATGGCTTACTTCTAATAGCAGTATGACAGACGCAGTGTGGATAGCGAAGATGCCTAGCTTTGTGGAGTGTGAGCTTAACTTTCAGAAAGACTTCTTTGTGTAATGTGCTCAATTGTGTGTGTGTGTGTGTGTGTGTGTGTGTGTCTACTCTTTTCTCACAGGGTCCCAAGGAGTGCTTTCTGTATGTATGCTCTCTTCATGACTTAACAGGTTCTTTGGTGAGAAAATGATGATAAAGGTAGATGTCCAAGTAATTTGGTGGGACAAAGCCCCTGCAAGACAACAAAGAGTATAACAGGAAGAAGCAGTAAAGAGCCTTCAGACCAATGCATAGGTCTAACATCTGTGAATGACAGGGCATGGGAAGAGGAGAGGACCCAAGTCTTAGAATATCCCACTGGGATGCCAGGTACAAAGAGCTTCTGTAGAGACATCCAGAGCCAGCGATCCTATGCCACGACACTGTTCTTCACATCCAGGAGTGTGCTTAGAACGTAGTGTGCTTTGCTGATGGTGGTTATGGGTGCATCTGCTGCTGAGTCTGGCAGCTAACTGTGCAATCTGTGCAGCTCTCCGTTAATAGGTCAATGGAAGAGGGGTAGATGGATGGTAGATGGATGGATGGATGGATAGATGGATGATGGATGGATGATGGATGGATGTGGATGGATGGATGGAAGGCACTAAGGGGCCTGGCAATTTAGGAGATTAATATGGAAGGCACTAATCTGACTTGATAGAAATTCTCAAAGGTTTAAAAATAGAACTACAACATGTAAACTGCCTGCTAATCGCAGCATGTGATCCAACGTCAAAACATATCTGGACCTGCAGTACACATACATCAGTGTATTCGGTTGTCTTGGATACAACCCTATCTTATCTATGGCCACCTATTATCGTACAGCTCCTTTTGTGAAACCGAGGGAAGCTATACAGGCTGAAAACAGACTCTCTCTGGGGAGTACCTTCAGGAACATCATCTTCAAGGGAGTGCAGAAAGCTGAATTAGACAGAGAGTGAGCCTAAACTGCAGTTTTGCATAGGGACCCCACTTGACCCCCAAAGAAGCTCCAAAGCTGTTATGGGCCTACAGTGATGTCTTTAGTCGAGGAATAATAGTGTTTCTCTGTAATCGTGTAACAGTCAGTCACTGGATAAGGCTGCCCTGTTTGGGGCATACCCTTGAACAGGAAAGAACAGTTCTTGGGAAGGGATGCTTATGTGAGTTGCTAGCAAACAGCATTTTGAGAGCTTGGAAAGAGGGCTCGTGTCCTGAAAAGAAGACCTGACTGACCAAGAAGCCCCCCCCCCTCCGCCCAACAAAAGCTAACCTCATGTTCTACAAAGAGACACTCTCGGTAGCCACATGTCAAACTCTGTAAGAATGCCTAGACCATGTGTTATAGCTGTTCATGGTTCAGTAATCCCAGTGTAAACATGATCCTGCAAGGCCAAAGACACACTCTTATTTATTTCTGTATTCTCAACTCCCATCACAGACCCACAGATCTCTTAATGGATCTGCTCCTCTTTCGGCATGTAGCTTGCTTACTAGGTTAAGTTTGCTTCTCCCATACAATTTTCTTACCAAAGGTTTTGCCTTGAGCTCAAGACAACAAATTGGAGGAGTCAGTAGCACTCAGGTGACATCTCCAATTGAAGATGTAATTGTCCCTTTCAATTTGTATTTATTTATTTTTATGTTTGCTATGTGTGCATGTTTTCGTGCTTGTGTATGCATGTTTGTGCACAGCACGTGGAGGCTAGAGGTTGGCATTGGGTACTTTCTTCAGTTGCTCTCAACCTTGCTTTTTGAGACATGATCCATCGTTGGACTTGGAGCTCAGCCATTTGTGCCTGCTGGCTGGCCAGCGAGTTCCGGGGTTCCATGTGTCTTTACTTCCCCAATGCTGGAATTGTAGACCTCTGCTATGATCTTTACATAGGACAGGGGGACAGAACACAGCTCTCAATTTTTGTATGGCAACTCCTTTACAGATGGAGCCATCTCCCCCATGTCACTACCCCGAAGTCCCTGAAGTCTGCCTTGTCAGTTTTCATTATTTGACCTCGTGGATTTGATTGATCCCAAGTTTCTGCTTGACTTCTGAGAAACTCTGTCTCCAGACACTGGGCATTACCTTTGGATTATTGAAACTTGGAGTAAATAGGAAAAAGATGCAAAGTAAAGAAGGAAAGCTAAATTACAGAATAATGCTTACATTCAGCTCTAACATTAATGTATAGGTACATTTTATAATAGTAACAATACTGATTGTATTCTTACATACATGCTCTATTTCACTAATTCAAAAGAAGACAACTTGAAAATATTTAAATTATGTGTATGTGTGTTGGTGTGCCTAGATGTATGCATATGCATCACATGTGTGCACCATGTGTGTGGAAGAACTCAGAGAGTTCCTAACAATGTGAGGTATCATGTGGGTACTAGAAAACGAACCCAGGTTCCCTGTAAGAGTAATAGGTGCTCTTAATTGCTGAGCTGTCTCTGCAGCTCAAGAAAGACAAAATTAAAAGAAAAAAGGTGAGATTCTGTTTTTTGAAAAAATATTTTAAAGACAAGTAAAATAAGATTTGATGGACTGTGTTCATTATAGAGACAGAGAGACGGTATCTCTTTCATATTATTCTTAAGTGTATTTATAAACTGAATGTGTTTGCATAAGATGGGTATCACTAATAGGGATAGATTAATCAGTTAAGCAAATGTGAAGCCACAACTGAGTATATTAAAATCCTTTACAGGGCCAAGATATATGAAGTCAGATAAAGAAGTATAGGAGTTAGTTAAATCTGTAGTGACAATCCCATCAAGGACATTTCAGATACCAAGAGATTTAGGTTGAAGGGTAGGTACATAGGCAGAGTATGAGCCAACAAAACCTGAGGGGCAACAGCCTTCAGACGTCTTCTAAGAAGTGGGCTGGAAGAGGGAAGAGATAAAATGACATATGAAGGATTAATGGCTGCATGCTAGGGCTGCTGAGATCTTCCTCCAGTAGATTAATAAATCATGGATTAATAGATCTCCAGAGGGGCAATCAAAGTTCTCAGCCAATCTCCCTGATATGTTAATAGGGATCTCCCTGGGTTGGGTCATTAAGGCTCAGTTAGAATGTACAAGGCTAAATTGCCTCGCCTTGTTGACTAGATTGAAGACAAATCAACTCAAGTGGGTTCCCACCATCCCTTCTACAATGCGCCTGCTGACAGCGGAAATGGATCCCAGCAGGAGAAGATCTCTGAGTGCTTAATCTCTCTTTGCTACGGTCTAGGCACTGACAGGCTTGAGATGCCAGGGTGTGCATTGTGGTTACTGTTTCTCAGTTTCTGGGAAAGAGGAAACAACAGACTAGGTATCCTGCACGCTCTAGGACAGTGATTCTCAACCTGTGGGTCACGACCCCTTGGGGGTTGAATGACCCTTTCACAGGATCACCTAAGACCATTGGAAAACACAGATATTTACATCACGATTCATAATAGTAGCAAAATGACAGTTATGAAGCACCAACGAAAATAATGTTATGGTTGGGGGTCACCACTCCATGAGGAACTGTATTAAGAGGTCGTAGCATTGGGAAGGTTGAGAACCACTGCTGTAGGGGAAGGTGGCATTTCAGGTCTTAGGGTTTGGAAGAGAAAAGGGTGTTCTTTAGGTAATGTGTTCCGAAAAGGGCTAACTGATATCACATGTAAGGCATGGCCATAAGGCAAGGGTTAGCCACACAAAGAGATTAGGAGTGAGGCTGGGATGAATGGGGAAGGCTATCCCAAGAAGGAGCAGCATTGCAAATGGTCCGAGAAGGAAAGGGCTTACCGTCTTAGGGGATATTGAACTGAGCCAGTGTGGTAGATTGGATGCGCAGGGGACAACCAGGCTCA